TATATATATATATATATATAAATGTCTGTGTGTCGATGTATACCTGATGGTGGCCATGATGATAGCGATCTGTGTCGGGGATGCTAGGATTTCCTTGACGCTAGTAACGGCGACGTACGCTCGATAGTGTCCGCACTCCTTCTTACACATACCTGTCGTCGCGTAGTCGACGCATGCGCAGTGCGTGAAGTTCTGCAGGAGAGAAACAACATGTTAGTCATGTTATTACTCATCTTCATCATCTATCTTTTAGTATGTACATACTAAAAATAGAAATATATAAAATGTATGTAGAAATATATAGAATGTATGTAGAAATATATAGAATGTATGTAGAAATATATAGAATGTATGTAGAATTATATAGAATGTATGTAAAAGATAGATAATGAAGATATGTAGAAAAAAAGATATGTGCGTGCGTGCGTGCGTGTGTGCGCGCGTGCGTGCGTGTGTGCGCGCGTGCGTGCGCGTGCGTGCGTGCGTGCGTGTGCGTGCGTGCGTGCGTGCGTGCGTGTGCGTGCGTGCGTGTGCGTGCGCGCGTGTGTGTATTGGTAGAGTACCTGTACTAGTGGATTATCCGTCAGCGCCATACCCGAGCAGCCCGCGTGGCAGGGCGAGTAGAACGAGATACCGGTGGCGCCACATACCGGCATGTAGGTGGCGCTATCACAGCGACAATCGACGTTACACGGCTCTGTAACATCAAGTCTGCGCGCAAACAAGAGAACGTTCTGTTATGCAGTAAGATATGTAAAAATACCCAATTCGCTAGGCGAATGTGTCAGCGAACTTAATTACTTTATTAGTATTATTATTGCCATCGTTGGATTTGTATAATTTTCCATTCACTCCGTCGGTCTTTCGCTTACTAAAGACAGTCATTCGATGCTACCTCAGAACTAGTAAATTACCTTTATTTAAAAAGTATAATTACTAAGTAACTTACTAAATACATCTATCTTATTAATCATTAATAAGGATTCACTAATCATTAATTCATCGTCCTTAATAATTAAAAAAAAATCTCTAAAATATTGTTCCATAATTTGAAGACCTGCTTACCCGTCGGCGCCCACATGTCCTGCAAACGGCACGTCGTCACAGCCAAGAAACATCGGAACAACGCCACCTAGCGTGCCGTAGATGGCGTTGCCGACGATGACGATGAGTATTATGCCCTTGCAGCTGAGTCGCAGCCGATTGATAAGTAAACCACCGACGATGTAACCCACGCAAGAGGGCAGCAGCGTCGCTAGAGCTGCGCAGGAAGACGTTATCAGCTCCTATAGTATTATACTATAATATACTATATTATCATACATATCCTATCAGTATTATGTAGTTATTCAGTAGTTACCTCATTGATTACTATGCTAGTTTTCTTATTTTTGTATTATATATATATATATATATATATATATATATATATATATATATATTGTTACTGTATTTATATTTTCCATTATTATTTACGAACAGAAGAAGAAGAAGAAGAAAAAGGAGGAAGAGGAGGAGAAGAAGAAGAAGAAGAAGAAGAAGAAGAAGAAGAACAACAACAACAACAAAGAGGAAGAACAAGAAGAAGAAGAGGAAAAAGAAGAAGAAAGAGGAAGAGCAGGAACAGCGAGCAGCAGAATGAACGTAGAGGATGGCGCTTACCTGCTACTATTGCTGCACTGAAGGCAGGCTGACTGAACTGTGTCTCGATGAACTTAGGAAGCCATACGAAGTAACCCGTGACCACGTGCAGATCGACGCATGCGCCGAGCGCTACGCACACGTACACAGGGTTTCGCAGCAGGTCCAGGAGTGAGTGCAGCAACTCTGCGTGTGATCGAATATTATTGATTAATTATGGACGATTCGATTACGTAATTAATGATTTGTGATTGATTAACTGGTGGCCGCACCAGGCGCGGCTGTTTCCCATCATACGCGATAGAAAATTATCGATTGATTATCGTCGATTCTAATATACAAATAATTGATTTGTGATTCGATTACGTAGTTTATTGATTTGTGATCTGACTAGACGATTGATCGATTTATGGTTCGATTGCAAGACTTATTGATTTGAGATTTATTGAAACGTAGCTACTCAGGTCGTGCTTATAGCGTCTCCGTGTAAGATTGAAAAAATTGATTGATGATTTCTTATCAGTGATTCATTGGTGATTCAACTAGGTGATTGTGATTTTAGTTTGATAAACGTAGTTTGAGATTTAATCACTGATTAGTTAAGTTTAATATAATTCGAAATCGGATCAACATGTAAATAGCAATTTACCTTTCGGTTTAGAAACGATGACGTTGATGATGACGTCACCGTCGGCCGTCGTGTGCTCCCGCTCCCCCGCCAGCGCCGTCGTGACGTCATCGTCCTCCCTCGCCGTCTTCTTGTTGCTAGGCAACCGACGCGGAAACATCGCCATCGGGATGGCAACGGCGGCCAAGATGGCGGCGAGTATGACAAAGCCGAGCCAGTATGCGCCGATCCAGCGTGGGTCCCACGGCGTGAGGTCCGGCGGAGGGTCTGTACGCGCGCAGTGTATGCATGTGTATACGTACATACATCTATGCATATATATATACACACACGCACGTATATATATATATATACTGCACGCACGCACACACACACGCGCGCGCACACACACACACACACACACACACACACACACACACACACACACTACACACACACACACACACACACGACACAGCCACGCACGCACGTACGCACGTACGCACGCCCCCCCCCATACACACACTTATACATATATATATATATATCAAGAGTGGATAAAAGAGATTTGTATATACGTAAGATATACGTTTGTTCAGTGCGTTCAAGTACAAACAATAACTACATCACAGCATGGAAATTAATTGACGCAACGAAACAACCAATACCGACCGACCTGTTACAATAAGTTCAATAACTCGCTTAGTGACTACTAAAAATTAACTACAGTTTCGCTCACCAGATGGCACCACGTATATTCCTGCGCAGACCGCACTGAGAATCATGCCAAGAACTGGACCGAACGTGCGCATGGAGTAGACAACGCCTGTATGTAGAATGGAGGGCACACACATTAAACATATTATGCATTCATGCACGCATGAACGAACGAACGATTCGAACGAATGAATTAATGAATTATTGAATGATTAAATGAATGAATGAATAAATGAATGAATAAATGAGAGAACAAATGAACGAACGAAGGAAAGAACGAACTAACGAATGAATAAATGAATGAATGATTGAATGAATGAATGAATGAATAAATGATTGAATGAATGAATAAATGAATGAATGATTGAATGAATGAATGAATAAATGAATCAACGAACGCATGAACGAATGAATGACAACGTATACATAATAGTTAAATATAAAATATCTCAATCATCAAAAAAAGAATGCGTTGTCATGGCGACGGTAGACTTACCGAGGTACAGTGCTGACCTCTGGGGGCTGACGTTGTCGTCGATGTAACTCGTACCGAGAGCGTACAGCGACGAGCCGCCGATACCGACAAGCGCCTTCCCGGCCGCCATGATGAAATACGCGTTCCTATTGGACGCCGACTCCCGCCGACAGACGGCGTCCTCGTCGCCGCCGCCATCACCGCCCGTCCACCCGCGCCGACACACGGGCGGTCCGACAAGCGAGGTCACGTTGAGGTCAGCGGAGGTGGTGGCGCGACGATCGGCGCCGTAGACGTAGTGTGGCAGACTGAGCGCGAGCACGCCAGCAGAGCAAACGAGAACGCCAGCGGCCAGCACTCGCGGTTTGTGTCCCTTACCGCCGAAGTAACTCGCGAAGACGACGAGAGCCACGTGGAAGAATTCGTTGATGGATATGAGCACGCCGATCTGTCGCGACGGGAACCGGAAACGTCGCTCGATCGTCGTGATGGAGCCGACAAGGTAGGCGTAAAACCCGCCATGCGCCAGCCACACGACGCTGTACGTGAGCATGAACAGCTGCAGACTCGCTAGGTGGCGCGCCCATCGCGGCCGACACACGAGGCCGCATTCGTCGTCGGAGGGCGCGCGCGTCGCCTCCGCGTCGCGCAGAGCGGCGGTGGGCGCACGCATGAGCGGTGACGTCGTCGTCGTCGTCGTTGTCGGCAGCGGCGGGGGCGGCGGTGCCATTGTCGTTGTCGATCGGTAGGTAGCTTGCTTGTCTGGGTTAAGCGTCTGTCGCTCGCTACTGCTGCTGCCGCTGCCGCCGCTAACGCTGCCGACTGCCTCCTGACACATGTACAGATGCATCGCGCGAGATCTCGCGAGACGAGCGGTCACTCACGTTCGCGCGCCTTTGGCTGACAGCGCGTGCACGCGCGCACAGGACTCGCTGCCAGTGCGAGGCGTGTTACCGCGCGCGCACTCACGCACGCACGTACACGCGTGCAGTCGCAGTTATGTAGCCACGCACGCACGCACGCACGCTGTATTCGTTGTGTCAGCACGTGGTCCACACGTGATATGTATACCTGTAGTGAAATGGAGGTCAACGACCCATATACGTAATATAATGGCAGAGACAACAATCTCGTCCCCCCTCTCTGTCTCTCTCTTTCTCTCTCTCTCTCTCTCTCTCCCTCTCTCTTTCGACTCTCTTCTCTCTCTCTTCTCCTCCTCTCTTCTTCCTCTCTTCCTTCCCCTCCCCGCCCTCCTCTCTCCTTTTATCGCCTTTCTTCTCTCTCCCTCTCTTTTTCTCTCCCTTCTCTCTGCATCTTTGTCTCGTCCCCCCCCCCCTCCCCCTCTCTCTCTACTCTGCCTCTCTACCGCCTCGCCTCCCTCCTTCCCTCTCCTTGCCTTCTTCCCCTCTCCCTCCCCCTCTCTCCGATCTCGTCTCTCTTCCTCTCTCTCTCTCTTCCCTCCCTCCCCCCTCCCTCTCTCCCTCTCTCCCCTCTCTCTCTCTCTCTCTTCCTCTCTCGCTCTCTCTCCCTCCCTCCCCGTCCCTCTCTTCCCTTCCCTCCTCTATCTCTCTATCTCTCTCTCTCTCATGGTTGCACGCGTACAAGTTGCTGCCACGGGCTTACAGTACGGTAAAAAAACACAAAGTACCGCGAGCAGCAGAACATGTGTAGCACAGTACGCACAGTACAGCGCATGACGGTGAAAATCAAGTTTCATAGCACACCAGACTGCACAACGCACGCTACTACGCACTCACACACGCACAACACGCACAACGCAACCACACACAACAACAACAACAACAACAAAAACCAACACAACAACGAATCAACAACAAGATATTCAACAACAACAACAAACATAATAAAACAACACACACACACACGTAGGACATGCACGCAACGCCACGCACGCACGCACAACACACTCACACACACCACCACCAACAACACACACCAGCATACACAGCAGACAGACAGACAGACAGACAGCGAGAGACGACGACAGACAGACCGACAGACAGACAGACGAAGACAGACGAGCACGTACGCACGCCACGCACGCAACGCACGCACGCACGCACACCACACACACAACGGACGGCACACCACACACACACAGCACCACACCACACACACACCACACCACACACACACCACACACACGTATAGCGCGAACGAAGTAACATCACCACGCTGTAAGCCGCGGCGCAGGTCTGATGGCAGTTCACGAAAGCTCTGGGATGTGCACGTTACCCTGCGATGTACTGTGCGCATAACCGTAAGCAACAGCACAGCAGCTTCTCCACATCTTCGCTACTATCGTCTGCCGTGGCGCGACTGCTTCGCAGGTGATACGTCACGCGCCGAGTGGCCCACGGGACCCGGTCTGCTGAGCCGAGGCGGGTGGTGGGTTTCACGCGCTGTAAACGGACCGACCGCGCGGCGCGATTGGCGCGTTCAATTACCCCGATCGCAGCGCGCCCGCGACGGCAGCTGTCACAACGCGCCGAGAATCGGTTGCTGCCGGCTTCGTAAGCCGTTTGTTAGCATCGCTGTGTGGTGTTGTGTGTCGTTGTGTGGTGTTGACCTGTGTGGTGTGTGGAGTGCCTGTGTGTGTGTACGTGCCGTGCGTGCGTGCGTGCGTGCGTCGTGTGTGTGGGTGCGGGTGTGCGTGCCCCAAGCAACTAAACCACGTGCGTGCAGCGTAGTTGTGCGTCGCGTGCGTGCGCGCACGGTGTATGTGGTGCCGTGACGTCGCGTCTGCGCACCAGTGTGCGCGCGCGCCGTAAAGTGGTCGTGAGTATGATGGAATGTGTGCGTGCATTTGCAGCGTGACGTGCGTGCGTGTGTAAGTGAATGCGCGCCGCGCAGTTGTATGTTTTTAAGTCTATCTGACAAGTCAGATGCAGCGTGTAGATCGCAACGTTTTTTCGTCCGTGCGGCCGTCGTCCGTCAAAGTAAGGACAATCTAAACGCTTGAACAGTACGGCTTGATATTTGGGAGTTAGGGGTGCGAGCGCGAAAAGGACTTGGGATGGTCCGAATCTGGGGTAAGGGTCAAAAAAAGGTGACGATGTGCCAATGGAGGGGGAAAGTTCTCTCTTACTTAAGGTAAATACGGGAATTGTGGCGACGAAGTGGTCAACGGCTCGACGCTATGGATTGAGAGCCAGAAGGTTAGCAGATGCGGCGCGGACGCGCCTATGATTTACTTCCTGCGGCCTGCAAAATTTTCTAACCGACGAATGGACAAACAGGAGATTAGTTTACGGCCCTGCATGACAACCCACACACACAACGCACGCACCGCACGCACGCGACGCAACCAACACGCACGCACCGCCACACCCACGCACAGCACACCACGCAGCAACACCCACACCCACACACCGCACGCCAGCACGGCTCACACGCAACGACGCACGCACACACACGCACGCACGGCACACACCACACACACACAATAGACATACATTACACACACACGCACGCTGCACGCACCCGCCACACTACGCAACCCAGCGCACGCACGCACACGCACGCACGCACGCGCGCACGCACGGCAATCACACCACACACCACCACACACCACGCCGGCACGCCACGCACGCACGCTAAGCACGCCACGCACGCACGCTACGCACTCACCCAGCACGGCACGCAACGCACAACGCACGCACGCACGCAGCGCAACACACACTCTCACACACACCGACCACACAACACACACCACACACACACACGCACACACGCACACACACACTGTGATTTATTTCAACCCGGCTGACAGGTGGCAGCACATGCGCGTGCTGGGAGTAATGACCGGGTAGCAGCATAACGCGGTGTGCATGGCAGGGGGTGGATGGTGGAGGGGGAGGGGTGAGGGAGGAGGGTTGAGGGGGAGAAGGGATGGGGAGGGGGAGGTGGAGGGTGGAGGGGGGAGGTGGAGGGTGGAGGGGGGAGGGTGGACGAGACAGCTCTTCCTGGTATCTCTATAGCTCTGGAACACCGTATGGCGAGAGGTAAGCAAGGCATCGCATCGAGCGAGTGTATATCAATCAATCAACTTCCCCATATCAGGAAGCTCACGGAATGCGAGGTTAATTCCTCCTCTCATTTTCTTCGCCTCCTCCTCCTCCTCCTCCTCCTCTTCCTCCTCCTTCTCCTCCTCTTCCTCCTCCTCCTCCTACGCCTCCTCCTCCGTCTCCTCCTCCGCCTTCTCCTCCGTCTCTTCCTCAGCCTCCTCCTTTTCTTCAGCCTCATCCTCATCCTCTACCTCCTCCTCCTCCTTTCTCTCCGCTTCCTTCTCATCATCCCCCTCTTTTTTTCACTCTCTTGCACTCTCTCTCTCTCGTGCGCACTCTCGCTTTCGCCTTACCTTTTTCTCGCGCGGGCTGTCTCATTCTCACTGTCTCATGCTTTCTCTACCACTTTCACTCTTCACCTCTCTCTATCCCGCCCATAGCCTGCATTCTTCTGTCTCTCTCTCTCTCTCTCTCTCTCTCTCTCTCTCTCTCTCTCTCTCTCTCTCTCT